CCTCATATACAGAGTACTACACAAATAGAGAAAGCCTCTGAGCTTCTTGCCTTTGAGTTCAATCAGCTGATTGGACCCAACCTCAGGCAGCGGGACCCTGGCCTTGAGAGATCTTGTCTTCTCTTTACAATTTTCATCGGATCCTGATTCTGCATGAGATAAGGGATGGATTTTTGTTTTGTTTTTGAGACAGGGTTTCACTGTGTAGTTGATACTGACCTGGAACTCACTATGTAGCCCAGGCTGGTCTCGAACTCACAGCGATCCTCCTGCCTCAGTCTCCCAAGTGCTGGGATTACAGGTGTGAGCCACCGTGCCCAGCAAGGGATGGATTTTGATGTTGTGTTTTCAATTTTACCTAGAATCCTTTTCTTCAACTGCTTCTGTTCCTTTACAGTGAGAGTTGGCTTTTGCAATGACAGGGACATATTCGTCTTATTGTCTATCACATCTATAAATGCCACATCTAAGGACTTACTTACCTCTATGTCCAAGAGGTATAGTAAAACAAAAGCCACTGTGCTGCCTGTTTTCTGTGATGTGTTGTCTGCTGAAGCTACTTTTTTTCATGTGGGTACCATTCAAACTACTCCTCAATGGAGGAAATAACAGCTTTAAAACAATTTCTGCAACTGATGGCATCACGACAGCCAAGTAGAAGGTGTGTCTAATAAGGTAATGTACAGCCTGACTGGACAGTTCTTTCCATTTTCTCTGCAGTTCCAGGTATGTTCCCCCCGCGGGAAGAAATTAGTTAGGCTTTTTATGTGGGTTGATTTTCCTAAACCTGACCATTATCATTGTGAACTCAAAACCCCTTTTTCACAATTTTCCATGGTTTTCACTGGGAAGATTTGCAAGTTCAACATAGCCAGAACTTTTTGCATTTTTAAACAGAATTAGTTATCGCTTAGACCTCTTTCATGATTTCCTCTGTCCACTGACCACCAGCCAGATAACAGTCACCTAGTGAATAAACTGCAGAATTGCCTCTCCAGTGTGGTTTTTGTGAAGTAAACTTTCTTTGTCAATGAAACTTTCAGTAAAATACATTTTCCCCTAATTTAATTGTCGGAGGTATGGCTTATGGGGTAAGTAGGGAACAAATGATATTTGGATTACATTTTTTAAACTTGCATTGGAAAACCTATATAAGTGCATATAGTTTGGGTAATTTCCTTATTTTTTATTGGGAATATATTTTCCAAAGTGAATAAGAGTAAATAGCATATTATGTTTCAACTTGTTAGTTTGATGCTTAACGGTCTTTTTTTTTTTCTCATTGAGTTTATTGGTACATTTTAGGTATACAGTACAGTTACATTCATCATTGGGCTCTTTTGTTACCCTTCTGTGTTTTTTAGAAGGCAGTCCAGGCGCTTTGTGATAGGTGACCCCTGCACATGCCCATTACATTGTAGGAAAAATGTTGAGAAATTTTTCCAGTCTTCAGCTTTCTGTCCAAATGAATCCACATTTCTTGTATTTTGGAATGGCTGTTGTTAAGTGGCTACTTGTAGAAAGTAACTGTTAAAATACTGGAGATATTATTAGACATTATTGTATTTGATGATATATTTTACCTTATTTCCAAGAGGAGATTTAGAAGTAGTACTTTATACAAAAGAGAGATGTCATAAAGCCTGGGCCAAAAAGATGGCCAGGAGGAAGGCATGTCTGGTGTGACAGTATCTGTGAGAAGCTTCAGGAGTCTGAGAAGCGAGGGAGGCTGTCAGTTTCAGATCATAAATGTGGTGGCAAGGAAGTGAGAGGCAAGTCAGCAGGATAACTCATGTAGTTAGAAACTTTGCCTTTTCCATCTTGTCAAAATGGAAAACAAAGGACAAAAGTGAATGAGTCCTGGTTTAAGTTCCAGTTATATCTGCATTTTAATTGGGGTATTTTTTCTTTTCTAAATTCATACAATATTATTCTTTCCAAATAAAACAATTTTCTTAGCTACTCTCTATTATTAAGCTTTTCATATAAACCTTGGGCATTTAAAAATCATTGGAACTATTTTTTTCTATTTACCTAGAACCTTAATTTTAAAACTATATTTAGAACTCTTTTTTATTTTACTTTAAAAAAAGTGGTTCACTCGGCTTCTGATTCTGGAGGCCAGAAAGTGCTAACAGTATGGCCCAGTGACTGGCTACATCACAATCCCAGGGAGAAGTGAGGCGGGAAGGGTCACCTGAAGAGTTAGCTTCCTTATAACAAAGCTGTGGGATTTGTAGTGTAAATATCTCATTTGCCTTCATGCCAGAGTTCTTGATGACTGACTGAGTATAGGGTTTAAATGAGAACAACAAAATATTTAGAATTACTTAATAATTTATTGAAGGGAGTCACGGGAATGGGGAAAAAATAAGAACCAAGACAGATTACGTAAAGGTACAAATTTCCAGTGATGAATGTCATATTGTATACCTCTAATGTACCAATGAAATTAATTTAAAAAAGAAATGCCTAATAATAATGAGATCTATTCCTCTCATTATAAAATTATTTGGAGTATTTGACAGCTTTAAAAAGGGTATGAGCGTTAGACTTCACTAACTAGGGTTCTCTCTCCATTCATAACATATCATTTTATATTTTTGCCAAGGAAATAAACCTTTCAATGTGAAAAAATAAAATAAAATAAACCAAATAATCAGAAAGAATATATCATGTACAGAATTAATGCAAGCATTTTCAGTGAAAAATAGAGGACTTCTTATTTGAGAATCCATAAATACATTTATTCAGGGGCCCCTTATTAATTAAGATGAATTTTAAACATGCAGTTTGTGCCAAGAATTACCAATTTTAATTTGTAAGACTATGCTTATCATTAATAAGGGTACACACCCATAAAACACCACATTAGTACTGGTCAGAAAAGATGCTTCAGGTGATATCAATTTTATATTTTGAAGCAATGGGATATTCATTAAATATAGGAAAATCAATCCAAAGTTTCTCTCCTGTTGTGATGAATTTGATTGTTTGATAGGTTGTTGGCATTTACCACTGTATGACATAATGTTGCAGTGCAAGGTAGATGGGCAAATATTACTCATTTCATTTGTTCAGTGTGAAAATATACAATGTATGTATTTGATGAAGGCCTGAATTTGTGAATTAGCAGTGCAAATATATTAACCAGTAAAAACGGCATGCTTGCTTAGGCCTTGGGATTCCCATCAGGGAAGGGCTAGGTTTGGCACCTGATTTTTTTTTTTTTTTTTTTTTTTTTTTTTTCC